TGCTGGCCAAGCAAACACAAGGCCATGAGTTCAAGACCCAGTGCTGCCAAAAAAAAAAAAAAAAAAATCACAGAAGGATGCAGCATAAAAATTATCTTCTTTCAATTGCTCAGGGTAATTTGTCAGGTGAGCAATTGGGAGAAAAATGTTGACCTCCTTTCTTCTGTTGAGCGTTCTGGGGTGTTTGTTTTGTTTTTGATAATTACTAGAAAAATTGTAGACAGATACATATAGACATACATAGATATGCATGTGCACAAGTATGTACTTATATATATATATATATATATATATATAAAGTTTTATACTCCCCAAATGCTTATGTTTACTTAATTATGGAGGAAACATACCAATTACAAATGTCAAGAACTAAACTCATCCCGCCAGGCGCTGGCTCACAACTGTAATCCTACCTACTCAGGAGGATCATGGTTTGAAGCCAACTCAAGAAAATAGTTCTTAAGACCCCCCCACCTCGAAAAAATCCATCACAAATAAAGGGCTGGTGGTGTAGGCCCTGAGTTCAAGCCCCAGTACTACAAAAAAAGAAAAAGAACTAAACTCATACACAAAGAAAACAAACAGTTGCATTTCTTATGAATCTAGTGCATGATTTCATTAGTATAAAGCGGTAGGAACCCATTTTGAAAAGAGGACTATAAGAGAAGAGTTAGTTTAACTATCATTAACCTCTATTGCATATCGTACTTTAGAATTACTAGCACTGAAAGAAGAAATTCCCCTCCCATTCTTATTGAGGCAGGACGGAAAACAGGAAAACAGGCCATGGAACTCCTCAGACCTCATGTGGCTTATTCTCTAAACTCCCTAACTCAACTCAGTGCTATCTTCTGCTGTTGTAAATTGTGGAACAAACCCTTGGGGTAATTCTGCCTTCCTTCATTCCTCAGATAGAAATATACATACTGATCACCCTCCAGGCCCAAACCATCACCCTAGCCTGGAGACCACATAAACCTCTCCCCACTCGCTCCTGTTTTTTTCCCCTCCCACAGTTTAGCTGGTTCTTTGAAAAAACACCTTGAGCTGGTGCTAGCAGCTCACACCTGTAAAACCTAACTATTCAAGAAGCAGAGATTGGAAGGATCATGGTTCAAAAAGCCAGTCTGGACAAATAGTTTGTGAGACCCTATCTTGAAAAACACATCTCACAAATGACAAGTGGTATGAGCACCTGCCTAGCAAGCGTGAGACCCTGAGTTCAAACTCCAGTACCCCTCCAAAAGAAAACCCTTGAAACAGACAGCTCTCTCTCTGCTTCTGGCTTCCACCTGGCCCATCATGCCTATTGTAACCCCCTCCCCTTCCCTAACCTTTAATAACTCTTATTATCACCCTTACAATGTCTACATATCCTACCTGAATGCATCCATATAGGATGTAAGAATCTGGGATTTTCTGTTTACCAGTGACTATAACATTATCACTTTCTTTCTTTTCTTCTCTCTCTCTTTTTAAATTTGAGACAAGGTCTCACTATATAGCCCAGGCTAGCTTCAAACTCATGATCCTCCTACCTCAGCCTTCCCAAGTGTTGGGATTATAGATGTATGCCACCATTTCTGGCTCCAGCTTCACTTCCAAAAACATTTTAAATAATATTAAGTAATGTTCAAGGCCAACCTGAGCTACACAGTGAGACCCTGTCTCAAAATACCAAAGTAACAATAAGTGAAGACTAGCATTTCAAGAAGCAAAAACAGTGTAGAACTTCCACAACAAACTGAAGGTTACCTGATTTCTGTTGACAGTTCACTAAAATTGTAGTAAGACTTAGAATGATACTTCTGTGGAAAGCATGTATATATGAAAAATCTAACATCTTTCCACTCAGTGAGGAGAAATGAAACTAACATTTGCATTTATTCATTCATTCATTCAATACTCATTAACACCCAGTAAGCGCCAGGCATCTGATGACACAATCTCTGTTCTCATGCACTTTTCAGTCAGGTGAGGCAGGGACTGGACACATTAAGCAAAATTATCAAACATGTTATTTAAATATTGCTACAATAATAGCTACAAAAAATATGTGGTAAGAGCAGAGGGCAAGCTGGAGGTTAGGGAAGAAACTGGAGCATAAGTAACTTTCCCAAGGTCACAGGATTATTAAGCATCAGAACCAGGCTTTGAAACCAGGTTTGAATGACTCCAAAGTCCATGCTTTTCCAGAGGTGCTATACTGTTTCTTCCCAAAACATTTTCCTCTGAAAGTTAATGGAAAAACCTTGACTATCCCAGATTCTAAGTGCTAAAGGTAGACTCCCTCCTTCAGACTGAGTCCTGTTTTTCACCTGCCACCTCCAAACTCATTTTCACAAACCTCTAGATTTGGCATACTAACAAATGTAATTTGTTCTCCAAAACCAGAATCATGAACAGCAACACTCACTCCCTGCCCCCATCAAAAAACAAACAAACAAAAAAACCCACTTTCACAGGTTTCTGTTGTTATCACTTTGTTGTGCTACAAATAAAGAACTTTCTGGCCGAGAGTTTTTTCTCTTTGCTGTTCATGCTGGCACTGAACTCAAGGTCTACAGCATGCTAACCACGTGCTCTACTACAAGCTACACCCAGGTCACAATAACCAGTTTTGCAAGGTGATTCATAGAATATCAGAAATAAAACCTATTAAAGAACTATAGACATTCACCAGGACAACAGTTTAGTATAGAAAAATAAACAGAATTAAATGAAGAGCAAAGAAAAAGCCATACTTTCACTTCTGAAATGACTTTCACATTCAACATTTGGAGCTTTACTCAAGAGGGCTGACTTTTCCCTTCTTCTGTTTCCTACTTCCTCTTTCTCAGTTCTTCCATTCTTAGGAACTTCAAAACAAGGCTTTTATTATATTAGATCTGTTTTAAATAGCAGCAACAGAACACAGCCATAAAAATCAAGCTTGGAAAGCTTCCTTTTCTTCCACATTCTTCCGGCTAAAGAACAAGAAGGCTAGATTTCTTTTTTTTTTTTTTTTTTTCAATGCTGGGGGTGGAACCTAGACTCTTACACATGCTAGGCAAAGTACCTCCCCAGTGAAAGCTAGATTGAATACCTCCCCAGTGAAAGCTAGATTGAATTTTTTTTTTTTTTTTTTGCCGCATTGGGTTTGAACTCAGGGTCTCACACCTGCTAGGCAGGCACTCGTACTGCTTGAGCCACTCCGCCAGCCCTTTTTTTGTGATGGGTTTTTTTCCCAGATCGGAATATCCTATCTATTCCGAACCATTTGTCCCACCTGGGAACCATGATCCTCCTGATCTCTGCCTCCTAAGTCTGAAAGTTGAATCTTTTAACCTAAGATTCAATGCAAGTGGATAACTACTTAAATAATCCTTTCCTCTTCCATCTCTATAAGGTGACAGAATTAAAAGGGAAAAAAGGGTTTATCCAAAGACCTCAATCTTCTACCTTCACCTGGGCTTTACCTGGAAGGAGGTTAAGAGTTGCAAGTTACTGGAAATGACATGCTGGCTACAAAAATCAAACCATCACAGTTTCTCACAATCTTTAGTTTGAAAAATATATAGATATTCACAGGGAGAGATGCAGGAACAATGTGAAGGAAGATGAATGGTAAGCTGAGGCTAACAACAATGAAAACTGACTTGGAAAAAAGAACTGAAACACTCAAATATCTGGTGCATTTCTTCTTTTCAAGGAACAAATAACAGTAATAAAATCAATTAATAGGTGATATTAATCTCACAGATACCAAATACTATCCAAGGAGCAACATTAGTTTTTTGGTTTTTTTGTGGTACTGGGGCTTGAACTCAGGATCTACACCTTGAACCACTCCATCAGTCCCTTTTTGTGATGGATTTTTTGAGACAGAGTCTTGCAAACTATTTGCCGGGGCTGGCTTCAAACCGCGATCCTCCTGATCTCTGCTTCCTGAGTAGCTAGGATTACAGACGTGACTCACTGGTGCACGGCTTGCAACATCAGTTTTTTGAACCTTCATATGCTTCACAAAGTTAACAGCAAATATTCAGGAAGACCAAATTATGTACTGTTCAGGAAACTTATGGATTATTAGGAGCTACAGACACTGTATAAATCAATATATCACAGTTAATTAAGTACGATTTATACACTGAGTTTATATTTTGTGATTCTCTGGCAGCAATATTTTACGACATAATTATAGGCAAAGTTTGTATAGCCTGGTGAATTTCCTCATTGAAGGCGAAGTGCTGCGAAATGTTTTATTATTCGTTTATTGCTAGTCACGTTGTTCGGTACACCACCTTTACAAGTAACATTCCCTCTGAAACTGTAGTTACTAGATTGCCCCATATGATACCCATTGAACCCATCGTTCACTATGCTCTTTTTCCTGGTCGTGCCTGAAGCACACGAGTTGAACATTACAGGCAAGAACTTTTATATAATAAAAGTACTGAATGTCTCCGGTCCTTAATACACCGAGCACCCACCGTGGTAAATGACAAAGGCAGCAACCAATCGCCAGACAGGATCCACAAGTCTTAGCCAATGAGAATATGGGGGTGGGGTTAAACTAAGCTCCGGGTGACTTCCCCGCACCCCAGAGACCCAGGTTATGGGAGACTGGGCAAGAATTGGGACTCCGATGATCTCGTTACCTTCGGTTGTAGCTGTTGTCCTCCTCGTTCTCGCAATCGCTGCAGTGATCATGGCCGTTCCCGTTCCCTTCCATCATCTGCGGTAGAGGAGATGCCGGCGGCTTCACTGCTGTCTCACTCTCATCCGCCATCTTAAATTGCGAGAGCGGGGCTCCGCGCCCTGCTACATGGGGGGCTGCTATTGGACGAAGGGAGCTTACGCCTTATTCTGGGTTTTGTAGTTTTTGTGAGGAAGAGAGCGGCATAACAGTAGTTATTCCTGGGAAACCGGAACAAGGTGGACTACAATACCCAGAAATCGTGAGGGGAAGCTGTCCTGGAAGGGGTGGGCGGCAATCCCGGAATCCCCGGCGTTCGGCCGCGCTCTGAGGGAAGGTGGGCCGCAAGGTTGGCGGGGCCGACCCTCTAGCCCGGGCGGCCGCGGGGCATACTGGGAGTTGTAGTTGAATATTGGTTTAGGGTTTAGGGCGTGGAGGCTCCGAAGTCCAAGGTTTGACTTCAGCCTGCCCTGCTAGTTCCCCCGCCACAGGCGAGCCGTTATTGGCTGCCGTTAAGGACCGTTACCATTCCCCGGTAAGTGAGAGAGACTGAGGCCCGCGGGTGCGACCCGCCGGGAGCCTGAATGTCACGGACCCTTTTGGAGGGAGAACCCAGGTTTGCTCTTGGACACCTCTGTCGGGACTCTAGGCAGACCTGGGTCATTGACCGTCTAAGGCCTCCTGAGAGGCTGCGGACTGTGGTGTGTGGGATACTAACCCTGAGCCAGGAGACTTGACTGCTTGGCAGGCAGGGCCCTCCGCATGTTGGCCGCGAGGTACTGATCTCCATGAAGCTCTTCCACACATATTATCCCTGTCATTCCCTATAAGGGCCCTCCACAACTACTGTCTGTCTGTCTGTCTCTCCCTCCCTCTCCCCCTCCTCTTCCCCGCTTCTATACTCCCCTCCCCCCATTCTACCACTTGAGTCACGACCCCAGCCCTCACAGCGAGTCTAATGAGCACTTATACACCAGCATCCGTGTAAGACTTTTCATACATCATCTCATATAGTCCTCACAACAAGCCTAGAATGTGGGTACCACTATCATTCCCCTTTTTCAGAGACGAAAAAAATGGCCCAGAGAGGTTGGCAAATTGCACAGTCACATAACTAGTAAGTTGTAAAACCAGTGTACAAATCCGGATCTGCCTGCTTCTAGGCTCTTTTAATTCTTTGCCACCATAACAGTCCTATTGTCTGGCTGGTGAGGTGGCTCAGTAGTAGAGCGCCTACCTAGCAAGTGTGAGGCCTGAGTTCAAATCCTAGTACCACCAAAAAACAAACAAAAAAACTGAATCCTGTTATCTGATACAGGAATTCCCCACAGGAACTGTTATTAGAAGGTAACTAAGCTATTTGAGCCTTTTTGAATGCTTAGTCCCTCAGGTCTCACCCCTGTGATTAATTTCATCATAGTTCTGAGAAGAGAGTCCAAAGACATTCCCACTCAGAGATTTCCTATTTGGGTTAGGTGTGGTGGGTGGTGGTGGAAGAACTAGTTCTTACCATCCAGAGCTGCATGGCCAAAAAGGGAAATGATCTTTGTCTTAGGGAAACTCTCAACATGAGAAGGGTAGGGTGGGAAGAAACAGTTCTCATCTGACTCAGGGAAAGAAAACCAAATAAAACATAGAGCTAAATATAGTCAACATTTTTTTTAATATATATCAGTGGCAGGAGTAGAAAAGTATATATGATCTCAAGCTGCAGATTATCCCCAATCATTTCCAATTAACTTTGGAAGGCAGTCAAACTGCCACGTTGGCTGAAAGTTGTCACTCACACTCATCACTCCAGGGCAAGACTGCTGTTGGGCATCATTGGCTCATGCCTATAATCGTAGTTACTCACAAGGCAGAGATCAGGAGGATCTCGGTTGGAAGCCAGCCAGGGCTAATAGTTTGCAAGACCCTATCTCGAAAAAGCCCTTCACAAAAAAGGACTGGTGGAATGGCTCAAGGTGTAGGCCCTGAGTTCAAACAAAAAAAAAAGTGCTTTCAACACAACATCATGATGCATGTTGGGGCTGGAGCTATAGCTCAGTGGTAAGAGTGGTTACCTAGCATGTGTGAGCCAATTCCTAGCACTGCAAAAGCAAAACAAAAAATAAAACAGACACTGTAGTTGGCGCCAGTGACTCCAACCTGTAATCTCAGCTACTCAGGAGGCAGAGATCAGTAGTATCGTGGTTCGAAGCTAGCCGAGGCAAATAGTTCAAGAGACCCTATCTTGAAAAAAAACAGCACAGAAAAGGGCTGGTGGAGTGGTTCAAGGTGTAGGCCCTGAGTTCAAACCCAGTGCCACAAAAATAAATAATTAAATAAAAAACCAGAAGCCATGATGCCATATATGCAGCTGCTGGAGAATGAGAGGTCAGAAATAATAATAAAGGATGGATTTAGTTTTCTAAACAATTCGCCTCCTTTAGTTCATATGACCCTGTGAAGTAGATGGGAAAGAGATTCGAAGAAAATTGTATTTGCCCCCAAAATCAGTGATACCCAGTTGCAGAGCTTGGACCAGAACTCACATTGGGTATTCTAATTCCCAGTCCTGTGTTTTCTTTCCACGCAGACATGCAGACATGCAGAGGTTGAATGAACACTAACGACGTGAACTAGGAAGAGTGATTATAGGTAATGACTTCCTGATCTCTATGGGCCCTGCCATTCTTGTGGTTCAAAGCTTAAACATTTTGCCCTATATTTTAAAGCAAACTGAGTAGTTTTTGCTCAGTGGAGAGCCTCTCTGGGTATAGACAAGCAACATGGCTGTTGTGACCAAGTTCAGAATGAAAGTGTAAGTCCAAAGTTCTAGAACCCAGCATCTCTGAGAATTTCAGAGTTACAAGGGAACTGGGGTACATACCCCCTCTCTCAGTACTTTTCAAGTTAAAATCCTCATTTAGATTTTGTAGTATCCATGGTTTCTCTATAATAAAATTGAATTGTACAATAGAGTGTATGTGATCACTTTTTTTTTTTTTAAATAGTGCTAAGGAATGCAACCCAGGGCCTCATGTGTGCTAGGCAACTAAGCAACACTTCCATGAAACTTCTTGTTTCATGTCATTTTTTTCTTTTCTGGTACTAGGGTTTGAACTCAGGGCCTACACCTTGAGCCACTCCACCAGCCCTTTTTTGTAATTTTTTTTTTTCAAGATAGGGTCTCTCAAACTGTTTTGCCCAGGACTGGCTTGGAACTGTAGTCCTCCTGATCGCTGCCCCCTGAGTAGCTAGGATAATAGGCATGAGCCACCCTCGCCCTGCTCTGCTGATTTTTTTACCCACCCATTTTGGCAGGGTTATCATATGATGGTAGTGGGGTGCAACAGGGTTCTGAGGATGGCTGAGGGACATGCCTGTGAAGCTCTGTGGATTCTGAAATTTGCTCCTGGTTTAAATACTTCTCTTATCCCGTTGAGGTGTTTCTGGAGGCAATGTAGTGGTTAAGTGTAGGTTTCAACCATTGGCGGTGACACATACCTATAATCCTAGCTACTTGGAAGGCTGAGGCAGGAAGATCAAGAGTCCAAGGCCGGTGGCTCACGCCTTGAGTAGCTGTAATCCTAGCTACTCAGGAGGCAGAGATCAGGAGGATCTCAATTAGAAGCCAGCCTGGGCAAATAGTTCATGAAACCCTATCTCAAAAATAGCTAACACAAAAAACTGGGCTGGTGGAGTAGTGACTCAAGGTGAAGGCCCTGAGTTCAAGCCCCAGTACTGCAAAAAAAAAAAAGTTCAAGGCTCAGCCTGGATAACATAATGAGAACCTTGGGGATATACCCAAAAGACTGTTACTCCAGAGGCACCTGCACATCCATGTTTATTGCGGCACTATTCACAATAGCCAAGTTATGGAAACAGCCAAGATGCCCCACCACTGACGAATGGATTAAGAAAATGTGGTATCTATACACAATGGAATTTTATGCAGCCATGAAGAAGAACAAAGTGTTATCATTCGCTGGTAAATGGATGGAATTGGAGAACATCATTCTGAGTGAGGTTAGCCTGGCTCAAAAAACCAAAAATCATATGTTCTCCCTCATATGTGGACATTAGATCAAGGGCAAACACAACAAGGGGATTGGACTATGAGCACATGATAAAAGCGAGAGCACACAAGGGAGGGGTGAGGATAGGTAAGACACCTAAAAAACTAGCTAGCATTTGTTGCCCTTAACGCAGAGAAACTAAAGCAGATACCTTAAAAGCAACTGAGGCCAATAGGAAAAGGGGAACAGGTACTAGAGAAAAGGTTAGATCAAAAAGAATTAACCTAGAAGGTAACACCCACGCACAGGAAATCAATGTGAGTCAATGCCCTGTATAGCTATCCTTATCTCAACCAGCAAAAACCCTTGTTCCTTCCTATTATTGCTTATACTCTCTCTACAACAAAATTAGAGATAAGGGCAAAATAGTTTCTGCTGGGTATTGAGTGGGGGGAGAGGGAGGGGGTGGAGTGGGTGGTAAGGGAGGGGGTGGGGGCAGGGGGGAGAAATGAACCAAGCCTTGTATGCACATATGAATAATAAAAGAAAAATGAAAAAAAAAAGAGAAAAAAATAGAAAATCTTTAAAAAGTTTAAAGAAATAAAAAAGAATTTTAAAATTTAAAGAAGAAAAAAAATTTTAAAAGAGAGAGAGAATTGAGCATGGTGGCACACACCTGTGAACTGAGACTTAGGAGGCAGAGGCAGGAAGATTGAGAGTTGGAGGCCAGCCTGAGTTACATAGTGAGATCAAGACCAGCATGGGGTAAGAACTTTTGTAAATCCCACAATGTACCCCCACCCAGCATAACAATTAAAAAAAAAGAAGAGATAAAAAACAAAACAAAACAGCATGGGCTATACAGTGAAACTAAACTAAAACAAAAAGTGCAGGTTACAGAGTGTGTCTTCCTGAGTTGTAACTCTGGGCTCTGCCTCTAATTAATGAGTGACCTTAAGAAAGCTGCTTAACCTCTCCTCTGAGCTTCAGTGCTTCATGCATGCACAGTACTTAGTTGTGTCTGGGGAGAGAGTCAATACTTAATTATTTTCTTTCTCAAGAACTCAGCATTACTACTATGATAACTAAAGAAAAACTTGTTCATAATGTCAACCACAGATCCCAGCCTTTGCTGTACTCCCAGCATGTCAGACATAGTTCTTTGTCTAGTGGGCCTAGAAAGACATAAGCCAGGTTGTGATTCATTAATTCAGCATTTTGGAGCATCATGACATACTAGGTTTTATAGCAGAAACTAGAGAATCAGGCACAGGAGAACACAGTTCCTGACTTGTGTTTACTCCACAAGTTGGGAGGTATCCAGACTGACAAATACAGTGCTGTACATGAGGGAGCACAGGGTATAGCAGGAGCTCAAAGGAGGGTCCCTTTATCTGGAGAAAGGAATACTGGAGAAAATGATGAATGACCTGAGTTTTCCTAGGAAGCAAAAACCAACTGAAAGTCCAGTTGCCTGAGATGATTGTGCTTTGAGGTACCATACTGAGAATGATGAGAGTGGTGGCTGGAGAGTGAGGAGCATTTTGAAAGTTGGGATTGGAAAGGCAGGCAGGAATCAGGCCATGAAGGGCCTGATTACCCTAAAGACTTAGGAACCGTTGATGGATTTTTAACTGGGGATAGATAGGATCCAATTTTTTTCTAGCAAAAGATCATACTGGCCTGGTGCTGGTGGATCATGCCTGTAATCATAGCTACTTGGGAAGCAGAGATAGGAGGATCTTGGTTTGAAGCCAGCCCCAGGCAAATAGTTCTCAAGACCTATCTTGGAAAAAAACTGCCCCCAAAAAGGGCTGGCAGAGTGGCTCAAGTGATAGAGCATCTTCCTAACAAGAATGAGGTCCTGAATGCAAACCTTAGTACCACAAAAAAAAAAACAAAAAACCATATTGGTTCAACTGCTCAAGTGCACTGCCTTGCAAGTGCAAAGCCCTGAGTTCAAACCCCAGAAACAAACAAAAATCATATTGGCCAGCAGCCTGTCTGTCCTAGGTAAGAGGGTTTTTTCCCTCTGAGGAACAGAGCTAGTGAATTTGGTGTGAAATAAAGGTTTGGGAGATGGTCTGTTGCGGCTTCCTGTCTCCCTTGGAGTTTAATTTTAGGAAGGGACCCCATGCTTCCTGAGATGTAGCCCTGACACATGGCCCAGAGCCCAGTGGTCCCACCCCTGCTTGGTGTTGTAGATTTGAAAGAATGCCAGGCATTCCCTGCCAGAAGACATTTGAGGTAAAATCAGAAAAAATAGCTATACTGGTGGTTTATGCCTGTAATCCTAGCTACTCAGGAGACAGAGATTACCACTATTTAGTATCAAGTTCAGATTTATACCTGAATGTTTTAACACAAAGATGGGTATAATAATTAGATTACCTTCTTCCATCCCATTTCCTGTAGATTACCTTCTTCTGTCCCATTTCCCAAAGGAACAAATGTAAGACATATATCTGGAGTGGTGATCTTTCTAAGTTGTGAAAGGCCTTAAATTTCAGGCTAAGAAGTTTGGACTTATCCTCCAACTGGTGAGGACTTACAGGAGGGTTTTTGGAAGCTTTTTTTTTGAGAAAGGGTCTTGCTATGCAGCTCAGGCTGACCTCAAACTCTCAATCCTCCTGCCTCAGCCTCCCAAATGCTGGGATTACAGGAGTGCACCACTACACCTGGCTTTGGAAGCTTTTATTTTTTTGGTGGTACTGGGGTTTGAGCTCAGGGTTTCATGCTTGCTAGACATGTGCTCTGCCACTTGAGCCACACCTCCAGCCTGCTGGAAACTTTTAAATAAAGGATAAATATTAATGGTATTTGTGAAGTGTAGTATAAATTTAATTGCTTATTAATATTTATTTAAAATAAACACATGGAAAATAAATTAGTTTTAAGAACCAGGAGTCAAAGGAGTCATTTCTAATGACTCAGGGTTGTTCATCAAACAAAACTTGAAGCAGTGCTCTAAGTCCAGCTGTCATGCTAAATGCTAAAGACACAGAGGGGACTAAGATGCTGGTCACTGTCAGGATGAAATGAAATCACTGTGGACAGGTCTCAGCTGAAGCCAGCTCAAAGGTTACCATTTCTGTCCTGAATAATGGAGGGTATGTATTTGAACTAAAAAAAAAAACCTCTTGGTGGCATCACCTTAAGACTGCAAAGGCTGAGGAAGAGCCTGGATTGAAGCCCTGCAGTAACCCTCCAGCCTTTCCTCTGGGATTATCCCAGGGCAGACTGCAGCTGCTCTTGTGGATTGGACCACACATATATCTCTGTCAAAGACAAGGCCTGTCTGGGCACTGATGGCTCACACCTATAATTCTAGCTATGTAGGAACAGAGATCAGGAAGATCGAGAGGTTAGAAGCCAGCCTGGGCAAATAGTTCCATGTGACCCTATTTTGAAAAAAACCCTTCACAAAAAAGGGCTGGTGGAGAGGCTCAAGGTGTAGGCCCCAAGGTCAAGCCCCAGTACCGCAAAAAAAAAAAAAAAAAAAAGGACAAGGCTGTTCTTATATAGCAATGGTTCCCAATACTATACGGCAGTAACTGGAAAAAGTGGGATCATCTAGAGAGGTTTCCATACAATATGCTCCAGGTGGATTGGGATAATTTTGGAGGGCAAAGCAGGTAG